GGCGGAAAGTGCCGCAACGGCTGCCTGGAGCTGCTCCGCGGTCACCCCCAAGCCGAACAGCGCCTGGACCGCGTCCGGAGTCGAGCCGATGCCGCCCGTACCGTTGCCGCTGCCCGGCGCGTTCTCCTCGCCAACGACGTGGCTGGTGGTGGGGACGTTGCTCCTTGTTTGCACCATTCTCGCGTTTGGGAGTTAACCTATGAGTATGTTCCTCTGCTCTCAATGAGAGCACCAATTTGATGGCTATAAACCACCGAGAGTATGAAATAATATAAGTTTTAGAGAGAGAGAGTGTGCAAAGTAGGAGTATATTGATTTCAAAATTCGGGTCCATTACAATGAGGGGTGACACCCCTTTTATAGGGGGTAAAATAAGCTAAGTCAAAGCTCTCTAATCGATGCCCGTCGTCTAGCGGACGTCACCTGTCCTTACGTCTTGTCCCTTTCATCCTATCGCTTTCACCAAGTCTTCGTTGAACGTCGCTTTCCGCACGTCGTCGTCGCGGGGTTCGAGCTCGGCTTGGATGGCCAAGCCGAGCAGGACGGACGAGCGGAGCACAGAGCCGAGCAGGACGGGCGAGCGGAGCGCAGAGCCGGGCAGGAAGGACGAGCGGAGCTCTGGGCCGGGTAGGAATGTCCAAGCCCGACACTTAGGAAATTTATGCTGATGTCAGCCCTAGGCTGGTGTGGGGTTATTCCCCATCATTATATTTTATCATACCTAAAACTCACCAAACGGTCTCTATAATGGAGAATTAAAGGATTATTCCAAAATTCTGTAACATAGAAAAACCCTTATCTTTAAATTTACTCTCGTACCAAAAAATTGTCAATTTGAATAAATAAAGATGTTACTCCGTAATTTTTATCACATTTTAAAAACAATTACAAGTATATTGCTCTTGCGTGGACTGAAATTATTTTCAATTCATTCTATTTGAAAATTAATACGAAATTAAAAAATAAAATTTATATATTAAAAAATTGATAAATAAATAATATACAAATAAAATTGAAAAATAAATAAATCAATCCATCAATTAATAACTAAATAAATAAATAAATAAATAATATATAAATAAAAAAATTGTAAATAAATAAATAGTCCTTCCCCATGTAAAATTCATGAATCAATTTGCGAGAAAAAAAAATATTTTTTCTGCTTTTTTTTTAGAATTTAGTGTAAAAATAAAAAAGTTATATATTTAAGAACTAAATCAAAAGTTTTTTGAAACAAAATATGATACTCCGTATAATTATATTATTTTATCAATAAAAGTACATAAATAAATAAAATCATATATAGCTTAAAATTTTATTTGAGCAAAGAAAGAATATATATTCCAAAGCATGTTATACCATATAATTATATAGGTAAAAATTTTATTAAATTTAATTTAAATTATAAAAGCTATTTTTAAAAAATCTAATTTTGCTAAACAATTTTTTATCAACAGCTAAGATAATCGATTGGTCAAAGCAGCCAACTCAACCAGCTGTTCAAACCAGCCAACACGAACAGCTATCAGCCAAAAGCCAAAAGCCAACAGCTAAATTCCTAACAGGGCTGTAAAGTAAAATGATCAACATAGTATTTGAGTTGTCAACAACAACCCAATTGAATCCCACAAGAGTAGGATCTGCAAAGGGTATGTGTGACCTTACCCCTACTCGAAAGTGGCGACGCTGTTTCTAAAGAGACCTTGGCTCAACGTCAAAAGGTGCATTGATTGATTAGTGAATGCTCCTTCCGTCCCAAATTAAATTGCATTCACTTTTTTCCCTATTTCCGTTAGTTATTTGATAAAATAATATAGTCATGTCACCACTAGTTTTAAAGATCCTTTAATGTAATTTTTTTAACGTAAATACATTTCTTTCATTAACAACCCCACTGTTCGAAAGATTACACCATCTATAAGCTCAGCAGCATACTATTTGCATCTATACAGAGAGTAATTTTTGAAATAAAAACTTGCATTCTTCACAACCGCCTCCAAAGTGTATGTTTTCTAGTGGATATTTGCATTTCTGATCTTCCAAGTTTGATAGCAGTAGTTAGCTCAAATAGCAGCCAGCAGGTTCCTCCTCCTTTTGTTCTTTATATTCTTCATGTGTGTGTAAACATCCTCAAACCCAGGTCCTTCCAGCTTAAGTCCGAATCTGGATAGAAGTTGCAGTCTTAGTTCCTTGGGTATTCTGCATTCCCACATGAGGTGCTTGATGGTGTTAGATTCTTCTCCGCATATACCACACTTGTCTTCGATGTCCATGAACTTTTTGAGTTCAGATTTTGTTTTGAGTCTCCCCTTACAGATCATCCACATTATGAATTGGTGTTTAGGGTGGGCAGGTTTGCACCAAACCCATTTCACCCAATCTGGCATGTTTCTGTTTCCCATGAGCCACTCATACCCTTTACGGATAAGAAATGGTGTATTATTGTTCATGCCATCAAAATCCTTTCTCACACTGAGCATCATTTTCCAATAGAAGGGCTATCATTTCTTGGTTGGAAACCCTAGAAGTTCTCATCCTTAATGTATCTAGAGTGAACCCATTTAATCCATAAAACATCTTTTTTGTTAGCAACATCCCAATTTAATTTCATAATACAAGCCTGGTTCCATTTGAGGATGTTTTTAATGCCCAAACCACCATGTCTGACAGGTGTGCAAGTCTCATTCCAACAGATGGGTGGTGCCTTTGTGTAGTCAGTAGATCCTTACCAAAGGAAGTTCCTACAAACACACTGGATTTTATAAATAACATCTTTGGGAATGAGAAAAATTCTGGACTAGAAATTCATGATTCCAAATAGGACCGAGTTAATAAGTTTAACACTGCCCGCATATGATATGTGTTTACTCCCCCTCGCAGTAATCTTTGAAATAATCTTCTCAGTCAAGCAACTACAATCACTTTTAGATAGCCTACCCGAAGTGATGGGTATACCCAAATAAGAAAAAGGAAGCTTACCAATTTTCAAACCTGTTATGCCTAGCATCTGTTGTTGAGTCTCTTGTGGGATGCCACTAAATACAATATGGGATTTGTTTGGATTAATCTGTAATCCAGTCACATGGTTAAAATGTTCCAATACTTTCATAATAGTAGTAATTGAGTCCTTGTCTGCCCTGCATAAGACAATCAGGTCATCTGCGAAGTTGAGATTGATGAGTTTCATATCTGCGCACATGTGGTGAAATCTGAACTTTTCCCTTTCAGCATAGGATTTGAACGACCTAGTGAGGTATTCCATAATGATAACAAATAAGAGGGGAGAAATGGGGTATCCTTACCTCAACCCTTTTTTTCCTTTGAAGAACCCATATATTTCACCATTCATTTTGAGGGAGTATGATGGGGTAGAGATGCAAAACTCAATCCATTTTATGAATCCGTGGGGGAATCTAAACAGTTTCAGAATATCAAGAAGGGCCTGCCATGAAACTGAATCATACGCTTTTTTCAGATCCAGTTTCATCATACATCTAGTTGAATTATTCTTTCTATTATAACCCCTGGCAACTTCTTGACAGAGGAGCACATTATGTAATAATTCCTTGCCCTTAACAAAAGCTGTTTGGTTACCATTTATAATGTAAGGGAGGATCTCTTTCAGTCTATGTGCTATCATTTTGGAAATAACCTTATAGATGGTGCTACAACAAGAGATAGGTCTGAAGTCAGACGGATATTCTGGGTTATCAATTTTGGGGATGAGGGTGATGACAGTAACATTGATCTGTTTCAGTGTTGTATCATTCTAGAAGAAGCTCAAGACAGCCTCTTTGAATAGCTCCCCTATGGTATCCCATTGTTTTTTTGAAGAATCCGCTGTTGAAACCATCAGGTCCTGGGCTTTTTTTATTAGGGATACTAAAAAGTATTTTCTTGACTAACTTTTTGTCAAAAGGTTTGACCAATTCCAATTGTTGGGACAGATTCAGCACATTCCCAACTTGAATAATGTTGGTATCTCGGCTGCCCATTTCTTGACAAGTACCCAACAGCTCCTGAATATACTTAATCATATATTTAGCAGTTTCAGCATTTGTGCTAGTAGTGTTTCCCTCAGAATCTTCTTTGATAGTAGAGATGTGGTTCATAATTCTTCTCTTCTTGATCCATGCATGATAGAATCTACTATTTTGGTCACCTTCATTCACCCATTTTTGTTTAATCTGCTGTTTATTCAAAAGGAACAAGGCTTTAGAAAGTGAGTTGAATTCCCTGGCAATGGCTTTCTCCTCCATTTTGTCCAGGCTTGTGCCCACATCTTTCCATTTTATCACATCTTGAGTAGAGTTGTTGAAATTTACTTCTATGAAGGTTCCTCAATGGACCTTTAAGTTGTTTCAGTTTCTCGATAAATTTGTACATGCTTCTACCTTCTATATGTGTATTCCAAATGTTTGCCAGAATATCCTTGAACTTAGGATCCTCCATCCACATCTCACAGAATAAGAATGGTTTGGGTGAATGGTTCTCATCCAAATTATTAATTTTTTTATTCAACACTGTTTTTCATTTAAAATGATTTGAAAATAACTACCGTCAAACATCGTAAACCAACACAGGCAATTTAAATTGGGACGAAGGGGATACTTCATTAATTAAAGAAGCACAAACAGTTTAGAGATTTATTTTGCTTTATTTCATTACCCCCCAAAGCCAAAATACAGTGAATTGTTGGCCATGTCGGAGATGATGGAAATTGAGTTGTTACTTCATGCCACACAATTACAAAAAATGCTATTGAGAATGTATTTAGACTCCCGAAAGGAAAGATGTGGGCACTAAACTTCTAGTAACAACACTAACGAGCAGTGTGTTCCTGTGTATTCTTTCCTAATCTAAAGCCACCAATCTAATAATAGAGCTTAAAAAACAGTCGAACCCGTCATGACTATGAGGATGCATCCAAAGAAGTGAAATGGGGAATTTGGAGGGGGTGAGAGTCCGGCGATGGGAGGATAGCTTCTTATTTGTTTCATCAATTTAATGTTTAATTTAAGTAAAACTAAGACTAACTAATTATTAACTTAGTTACCATCTTCGTAATTTTAAAAAAAAACTTCTTTTACAATATACAGCTTAGTTTAATTACTGCTTTCTCAACATATTCAATTTCTCGTTGATTTGAGTTCATAAATTAGTTGCGTTATGATGGGACTTATTTAATTCTCTTAGCAGGAGCAAAGTATGGAGAAAGATGGTACATCAATTTAGAAGAAATCCCCAAAGAGCAATTGGGAAATGGTCTATTGTACGATCCTTTCATTACATTCATTGAAGCTTACATTTTATTTGCCTCTGCCATTTAAATTCATGGAAACTTTGAATGCTTTTTAGTGGTGATTGTTATTTCATTTTTTGTTTGTATTCTATAT